TTATTTAGGTCGGCCGGCAATTTTCTCGTACCTGGAGGCTTTTAAACGAGGATTCGTCCAGAGGAGATTTGGAAGGGTGGAGGGGAGGGGAAGCTTTCTTTCTTTCTTTCTATTTTATCTTATTTTATCTTTCGTTCCTCTCTGCCCCCTTAGTTTTCTTTAAGCGATGGAGTTGAAATCGACACGATATTCTCTCGCTTATTTTTTTTCCCCTCCGCGAAGGAAGGGGAGAGGAGGAAAGAACCCTCTCTTCGAGATGGTTTTACGGCGCCTCGTGTTAAAAAAAAAATCATCGAATCGATTCTCGAACTCGATCGTGGTTATCCCACGGGGACGAATTTTATTTTATAGAAATAATAATAATAATAATAATATCGATAGGTCGATATTCTCGAGGATTCGGATAAAGGGGCAACGAGAGGGAGAGAGATGACACAGAGAAAGAAAATTATCCATCCAACTCCTCTTCCCACTCTTCCACGATAAATTCGACCTGATCTCTTCTCTGATCGCAACGCTTCACACGAACGAACGAGCGAAAAAGAAAAAGAAGGAAAAGGAGGAAAGAGGAGAGAAGGAGGAGAGATGAAAGTGTCCACTGGGAGATGGAAGGAAAAAAAAAAAAAAAAAAAAAAAAAAAAGAGTAATCTCGGCCGAGAGAGAAAGGACGGGAGGGGAGGAGGAGGAGGCGAAATAAGTGTCCGCGGGCAGTGGAGGGGAGGGGATATTGATTTGTTTTTGTTGCTCGCGGACACGCGATAGCCGGGGCCGAATGTGTGTCAGAAGGAAGAAAGAAAGAAAGGAAGGAAGGAAGGAAGGAAGAGAGCAAGCGAAACGAGGAGCGCGAGCGAAATTTACCTGGGGGGCGGCCCTGAGGAGGGGGAGGGGGTTGGGTTCTGTCGCGCGCCCCGCCAACGAATGTCGTCGGTGCATAGACGCGCCCAAGGTCGCGGCGAGAGGTCGAAGAATGGGAACGGAATCGAGGAGCCGCCGTCGCTTCCTCCCTTCCCAGAGCTTGGAAATATTTAACCTCTCTCCGATCTCCGCTCGAGAGATCGCAGAGGAGGGGAGGGGAGGGAAGATAAACCAATCTAAAAACCTGGTATCACACGAACGAAAGAGATGGATTTTGGAAAACCTATCCTCACCTATCCTCATCATCAAGGTGGAGGGGGGAGGAAGGGAGGAAGGATGCTTTAACCCTTTGAGCTCTCGAATGGTGACTGTCGGACACCGTTTCGGATCGATCCGACGATTTCGAACGGCGACAATATTTATTTGTGCTCCACTCTTTTATAATAGATTCGATTCGAGCTCTTTGCGTGTAATCTTGTTAGAGCGTGGAATGGTGTGCTGTACCGAATGGTTAGATTTAATTTTTGACGAATTTTTCTCGAATTTTGTGAGCGTTGATAATAATACGTCGGTAAAATGAGATTAGTTAGGAGCGAGGATGAGTTTGATTTTTCGTTATCGAATAATTTCTATTGAAATTGAGAAATTGAGGATAGAGAGAAGGAAAATAGAAAAAGAGTATGAGAAGATAAGAAAAATAAGAATAATGGAAGAGCGGATGAAATAAGAAAGGCGAACGACATCGAACGATATTTTATCGCGATGATTGCTCTGACAAACCGAGGATGCATCTTGGCAATTACTTGTCAAATATAGAGTTTAACATTCGACAAATTTTCTTCCTTTACGTGTAAAGATACATTAGAATTATAAATTGAAATATTAAAAATTAAATATATATATTAGAATACAGATGTGGAGTTGTTGGTTCGAGAAACGAGTGCAAAGGCAAACTTAATAAGCTGCAAGGCTTCTCTTCGTCGCAGGGAATCGAAATGCAAATTATTATTATTATTATTATTATTATTATTAAGGAGCAAGTCTTTAACGCCTTTTCTATCCCCTTATTACATCATCCTCCTGAAATATACATATACACCGGTGTTATTTGAAAGGAAAGGGGAACGAATTAAAATCGACAATGTGGAAGAACAGGGGATGAGTCTCGTTAAACGATCAGAGACCTCTAAGAAAGTAGAGAGTGGTGTTAGTCGACTTGATCGAGGACTTCAAAGAGACATCGAAGGGGAAGGGGAAGGGGAAGAAGAAGGAGCATGAATTAGAGCTCATTTGGCAAAGTGTCGAGCATGTAGCGTGAGTTTTGAGGAGGTCGTGGTGGGAGGGGCGGCGGAACTAAAAGCGAAAACGAGGATGGGAGGGGGGGATGTGATAGGAGGAAAAGAGGTGGGGCCGAGTCGAACGGGGGAGGGGAGCGGGCTCGAGTTTGTTACTCCGTCACCGAGAGTGCAGGTAACACCCTTTAATCGAGGATGATATATATATTTCTCTCTTTCTATTTTATTTCGATCCTGATTTGGCTGATCCGATCAAGAATTTAAATCGAGGATAGGATTGTTAAAGGAGATTCGAACGGAGGCATGGTTATTCGAATTATCGAGAACGTAGAGAGAATGAAGTATATGAAATCTAGGGGAAACTAGATTTACTTCGTATCCGATAGGATAAAAATTGCAACGGCGCGCGAGTCTTGAAGGAATATTTAATCCTGTGCATCGTTTCATCGTTGTTGATCCACAAACGATACCTCACCCCTTCGAAATTCGAATTGTATATTCGTCTAGGGGAAAATTTCCCCCCTGTGGATCAATTTTTTTTCCACGAGAACGCGGCTTAAGAATGCTGCTGAAAGAAGTATTTTCTTAAGGTTGATTCGATTTTTTGAGGAGAACGGTGGAGAGGAAAGAAGAAAGGGATGAACAGCTGTGGAGGAAGGAGAGAAAGTCGGGCGGGTTGCTATACCGGGGGAGATTCATTGAGCGAAATTGTTCATTTTTTTTCCCCCTTCTCGCTTTGGTAAATTCGTTTCTCTGTGGAAGAATCTGAGAATTTCGCGGGAAACAATGCTTTGAGAGGCGCAACAATGCTCCCCCGTTTTGTTTCCAAACTATCTCTCGAAGGGAACTAATTCGACCGTGGGGATAAAAGTAAAGGTGGAAGAAAAAGGAGGCTACGAGATTATCGTAACTAACAGGGGAAAGGAGTTTCAGTTTAAAAACTTTCAGATAACAATTATTCTTCTTCGACTTTTCCTTTCAACTCTGCACGGACGTAAATTTAGGGATATTTTAAATTTCTCCTATTTTCGAATTATCTTTACGTTTACGTATAGGATCTGAAACTCGTGTTCCAAAACAGTTGGATAATCGTTTCCTTGATTAAGTTAAAGGTGAACAAATTAATCAGCAACCGGATTCTAAGCAGATTCGTTTATCTAGGGAATTTGATGAGAATAATAGGGATTCCTATATATGCGTAAATTAATTTTTCTAGATTCGAATCTGATATGGAAATTTTAATGAAATTTCTTTTATTTTTTTCCATTAACTCCTTTCACAGTCAATTCGATTATATAATTTAGGGAAATTTCTAACTATTTCTTGAATAACGTTTCCTCGATGTTAAAGACAAACAAATTAACCAGATTCCATTCCAACTATTGCAGAGACTATTGCAGATTTGT